TCTTGGTTTCTATGACTCTGGCCAGCCAAAATCGAGTTCATCTAAGCCTAAGATTCATTCAATCTTTGACCTAGAACATTGACCTGGTTCAAGCAATCACAATATGACCTGTGTATTTGAATTGAAGCTTAGTTTGAAACTTTAATCTAATTTGTGTCTGTTAAGAAACCAAGGACTTCATCGCAAAATTGATCCGATTCGACAATCAACCCGAATTCAAGCTTCTGGAACTCGCGATTACGAATTGGAGTCCTTCGCGATCTGACCTTGGGTTCTCTCTTGTGACTCGTTGTTCTTTGAGTCAACTTCGATGAGAACTTTGGATTTCAAGTTCTAATTGGAATTGCGATTTCAGTTGGCATCTGGCTTAAATGTTGCAAACTCTAAGTTCGAACGACTTGCAGATCGACTTCACTAACTGAATCGAAATCAGACTTGTGTTTGCTATCTTGAAGCGAAATTAGACTCAATTTGAAGCTTCTATTGCAATTTGAAGATCCATCAAATTCGCAATGACCACGTGGAGAAGAGTGCGGGTGGAGTTGTTTGGTTATACATATTTTTTTAAACACAGATATGAGTTTTGAATATATGTATATGTATATGTATATATATATATGTATTTGTGTGTATGAGTGTTGTTGAACACATGTATTCTTTTCATTGAGATTTGTGATTGTTGATCGAGTTTTAGAAGTTTTTCTTCTCAATTAGATATGTTGATTTGTTGATTAATTTGTTTTGTTTTTGTTTGTTTGTTTGTTTTTTATTTATTTTTGTTGTTTTGTATCTAATTTCATTTGACAGAACCAGAGTAAAATTTTACTCTGGTTCTATTGCTCTGTTTTTTTCATTTGACAGAATCAGAGTAAAATTTTACTTTTATACAGAGTAAAATTTTACTTTTGTGTAGAATCTAATATTTTACTCATTTTTCAGAGTAAAATTTTACTTTTATACAGAGTAAAATTTTACTTTTATGTAGAGTCTAACATTTTCCTAGTTTTTCAGAGTAAAATTTTACTTCTATACAGAGTAAAATTTTACTTTTAGTTTCAGAGTGTAACATTTTACTCTTATTCAGAGTAAAATTTTACTTTCATACATAGTAAAATTTTACTTTTAGTTTCAGAATGTAAAATTTTACTTTTATACAGAGTAAAATTTTACTCTGAAATATATAGTGAAGATGACTTAATAGGAGAGCCGATAGATATGAGGGTAATATAGTAAAAGAAACAAGTTTTAAAATATTAAGGAATTTTGAAAGTACTTATATAATTCTTGTTCTTTTAAAAGACAAATTAGATAGTGAGCAGACTATCACCAAATCCCCCTAGATTATAATGGCATCACACGATCGTGCACCATATGATATATATATATATATATTGCTGGTAATATGACATGATATGGTCAATGATCATATATAATTTTCTTGAGTGAGCATTGACATTAAATGCTGCACCTTCAAATTCCACCCTATCAACTTATTTGTCAGATTTTAATTGTTGTCTTAAAATATGTTCGGCCATTTTTGACTAATAGTAATGAAGACGCTGGAGAAATTATTGAATATTTTAAAACAAGTTTAGGTAGTGTTCTGAATGACTAATAATTAATTTAAATTATAAAATTAATAGAATTATTTATTTTTGTGTTAAAATTTTAAGAAATAATAATGTGTAAGATATCAATTAGTAATAAAATAGAGTACATTTTAAAACATATAATTTCTCAAATCTCAAAATCAAAGATATATATATATATATATTGTGATTTAGAAAGAAAATATGAAAGAGAATTAAAACCCGACAATTATAATTTAATTGATGTAAGCTTGATCAGGAATTATCCCAACAAAGAGGCCCATATAATGGGTAATAAACAACTAGCCCACTAGCCTAATAATTAATTTAAGAAAGAGTCTCATAATATAAATTAAATAAACAACGTAATTAAGGTTTCGTTTGAGAATATATTATTTTAGTAATATTTTAGTTTTTTATAAAAAAAATTATAAAAAGGTAGATAGAGTGGTATGACAATTTATAATAATTTTTTAACTTTTTAATTAAAATATATAATTAACAAACGAGACCTTAATCTAAGAAAGAGTCTCATAATAGAAAATAAATAAACAATAGAACAAAGCATTATAATTGAGAAAATATATTAAATTTTTGCATTTAATAAGAATTGATTCCCTAAATTCTTGGATGGAACCTCCTTTTCCCATCAAAAAAAAAAAAAATATTCTTGGGGAACTCTACGGAGTTGGCCAACTAAATTAAGCCAATTAATTTCTAAGATATGCTTTGAGCAAGTGCATCTTCTCAAAATCGGCCTAGGCTAAGGCCATTGAGACCTGTGTCTTAAGCTCCAAAAAAATTGACTCAAAATAAAGTCTTAAATTTAGTTCTGTTTTTTTAGTATCTTACAAATTCAAATAGGTTCAATTTATTTTTGTCGCTTATAGGACCGGTCTAAAAGGCTCAAAAAATTCTGTTGGCCCATCTGGGAAGAAAAATTTATTTATACGTGTGGTTTGACTCAATTGAAATTAAAATATTTACAAACAAGTTGTTTGGACTTAGTTTTTAATATTTTTGAGTATTTGTAATGATTTCTTCCTATTTTAATGTATAAATTATTATATGTGCAAGTAAATTTAAATAAAAAATTTCTTGATACTTAATATTTTATGCATAAATTTTTTATTAAAAAAAAAATATATATATATATATATATATAAGAGGGCCCTTTTTTCGGTGATACTTTTAAAAAATGATTACAATTTCATGTTAAAAATTATAATTTTAATAATTAACAGGGTAAAATCTATTTTACCTTATTGTAGTATTGTCTTGGAGTATTTAACCTCCCTTACATTTGAAAATAGCTAAAACCTCTCTTACATTTTAGACTAAACAGTAATACTAACGTTGTTAATAATAAATGTAAAATGATGTTAATGCCCATTTACCTTCTTTATTTTCATTCTCTCTGCTATTACAATTCCGGTTTTGACCCGTTATCTATTGTATTCTAGATTCGAGTTGGTATGATTTAGAATAGTTATTCATATCTTGCTTCCCTTATTTCTCCTATATTTTGGTTATTGGGTTGTAGTTGTACGTTCGAAACAGGTTGGTTGCGAGCTTTTAACCGAGGCTAAAATAGTAAAAAAAGCCAAAAACTCAAAAAATTAACCCACTTCCCAAACCAAGCCTAAGAATAATGCGATAATAACCTTTTTTATAATTATAAATTATAATAATAAATTTTTTAGCTGATAATAAATAAATATAAATGATACATAATATTTTGCATAAAATTTTTGTATATAAATTCTTATAAGATTGATTTAGACTGATTAATTAAAATTTATAAGACTCACCATTTAGACCGATCAATTAAAATTTTATATTTATTATGTCACATTATTATTGTAAATCAAATTATAATTATAATTTTTTTTTTGAAAGAATCTCAAAATATTTTTTTCATATTTATTTGTGTAACATTAACAAATATGAAATTACAACTGGGACTTTTCAAAGTCAACGCCGATAACGTAAAATTGTAACTTCCTATTTTGCGGCTTCAAAGCTTCACAAAATATTGACCGAGTTTGTCTCCTTCTCGGTCAAAAGTATTTTGCTACAAAGAGCTCATTTGGCATAAAAAATTTGTTAAAATAACAAAAAAAAAAAAAAAAAAAAGGGTTGCCAAAAAAAAAAAAAAAAATTAAATTTTTTTCAATAAGATAAAATATCACGTTCAACTCATAATTATTTTATTTTTTTCACAAAAATAAAAAAAAAATCAAAAAATTTATTCTAAATAAAAATTTTTAACTCTAAATTAAAATAATCAAAAAATTAAAAAATCAATCCACGTCCTAAAACGAACCCAAATTAATACATAAAAATGATCTACTTGTGTGAGTTCAAAGTAGGCTTACAACTCCTCCATTGGATCTTCTAGATGAATTGCCATGACTTTTTTACTATTATTTTGTTGTCGTTTTTTATCATAGAAAGACATGTCAAATTAAAGGTTAAAACTAATATAAATAACATTAAAAAAACTAATTCTAAATTGACATAATATTACTGTCATATTTAATATAAGCTATTGAATTATCAAAACTAAAATAATTGTAAAGAATTCTGATCCTAACGGAATGGATGGAAGCTTCTTCCATGACTTTTATATCCTCAACAATAGTCTTCTGATCAAATAATAATCAACTTGTTTGTTTTCATTTTTTTAAAAATTTTACTTTCTTATTTTTCGTGTTTTTTTGTTTTTACTGTTTTTTTTAATATTTTAGGTAATTTTTTTTACTTTTTAGATACACCTAATATAAATACACCTAAAAAGTAAAAAAATTGTAAAAAAAATCTTTAAAAAATTCACTAAATACCAAAAATACAAAAAAATAAATAAAAATTCAGTACATATTTTGTATTTCTATGTATTTATTAATTTTTTAAAATATTTTTTCACAATTTTTTTACTTTTTAGATACATCTAACTAAAATGTATCTAAAAAAGTAAAAAAATATTTAAAATTTAAAAAATATTCATTACAAACAAAAAAATACAAAAACTAAAAAACTCAATTCTTAAAAAATTTAATTCAAAAAACTCAAACCAAATACACGGAATAATACTGGTATGGACAGAACTATAGTCTTTCATGGCTTAAACATTAAGGTCATGTTTGTTTAGGTGGACATGAGTTTAGGATTGGACTAATAGTCCAATAAAATTATTAATCCAATGTTTGGTTAAACAATTAAAGTAGGAACTAATTATTTTAAACTTGACTATTAGTTAAGATAGGATACATAATCCAACCGATTCGTAGTCCTAAGACTATTAGTCATGAAAATACTAATCCAATCCGCCCAAACAAACATGACCTAAGTACATCTTTTTCTGTCCTCAATTTGTAATCAATCAAAGCCTTGACTTTCTTTTTTTTTGTGTAGTTGTTGTTGGTTTCTTTGGATTCATAAAAGGGAATTAAATCATTACAAGGGTGGGAAGAAGCATACAAGCCAAAAAAACCATAGAGAGAATGGAGGAAGCCAAGTGGTACACCATATGTCTAATCATTTTCCCTCTCCTCCTACTCTTGTTCAAGCTAAAACAAAAGAGATACAAGAATCTGCCCCCAAGTCCACCTGGGATTCCCATCTTGGGCCATCTCCATCTACTAAAAGAGCCACTGCACCAAACTCTTCAAGCTATTTCAGACAAGTATGGCCCCATCATCTTTCTCCGTTTCGGATCCAGAAAGGTCCTCGTTGTCAACTCTCCATCGGCCGTGGAAGAATGTTTCAAGAAAAAAGACATCATCTTTGCCGACCGGCCACGTACCCTCTCCGGAAAACACCTCAACCACAACTACAGCAATATAGCTGCAGCCTCATATGGGGACCTTTGGCGCAATCTCAGGTAGGGTACTCATAAAACTCGAGAACTGAACAAATTTGACTTTTATAGTAAACTGATTCAATTATGTTTTTAAAAATAAAGATGCATATTAGATAGATTCAGTTCTCACTTAAGCATAGTCTAATTCAAACCAACTCGAGACCCAAACATATATACAGAGAGAATTAAATTTTACCTCTTTGGAGTTAAGTTAATACAAGGAATTACTAGCCTAAAATTTGATTGTGACAATAAATCTCCTTGGGATCGAAACCAAAGTGAAAAACTCACGTTTATTACTATCTAAATTAACAGATTGTGACGTGATATCAACTTAAATTTTGAATTGCTAATATTTAAATAAATGCCCTTAAACCCTTTATGTGTGGCTTAGGGTAGGAGATTGCAGCAATTGCAAATTTCACTCTGCAATTTTTTGGGTTTGGCAATTTGCTTTCATTTGCCATCTCAGCCCAGATCTGTATGGGAAGTTTTAAAAGTGAATTCGGGATCTGATATGATTTTTGGGAATTTATGTTGTTAGAATTGTCTCTAAATGAAAATAAAACTAAGAATAAAAAAATTGTGTAATGACATACTTTTGTTTTTGTTCATGTTCTGTTACATTGTTCAAGGCTTGTTAATTATATTTATTTATTTATTACTTGAAAAATTTATGATGATTTAAGATTGAATTTGAGGTTATGTTTTGTGGGAATGATTCACATATTTGTCATATAACCAAACTATGTTTCTAATCCAAACCAACCCAAATAATAGCAAGTTGGTTTGGTTTTATTTCAATGGATTATTGGCTCAATCTTGGATTTAAAAATTTGATTTAGTTATGATTTTAGTTTTAACCTGAACTAAACTGATCTATGCATTCCTTAATCTCAGACGTATTACAACTTTGGAATTTTTCTCGACTGCTTGCCTAGAGAGGACATCTAATATACGAGAAGGGGAAGTGAAATTCTTGATGAATAAACTCATGAAGAACTGTAATAGTAATGGGTATAGTAAGGTGGACTTGAAATCCAAGTTTCATGAACTCTCATTTAATGCTATGACCATGATGATCATTGGGAAGAGGTTTTATGGAGAAAATGTGGAGGATGTTGAGGAGGCCAAGCTCTTTCAGAATTTGATGAAAGAGCACTTTGAACTCGGCAAAACATCGAATCCAGCAGACCTTTTCCCAGTGTTGCAATGCGTCGATTTATTTGGGATGGAGAAGAAAATGGTAGCTATAGCGGAGAAGATGGACGAGTTTTTGCAGAAACTAATCGATGAACGCCGTAGAATCAATGCATCAACAAAAACAAAATCATTAATCGACAATTTGCTGTCCTTGCAAGAAACAGAACCAGAGTTCTACACCAACGAGATTGTATATGGGATTATAATGGTAAGTTCTGTATCACATCGTTTTTTATTTTTTGGAACAGTATATAGTTTTCAAATAATCAAAAAACATTGAATCATAGTAGTTCAGATTATTATTTCCCAAAAATATCCTATTGAATTTTTAACATTTATCCTATCTGGCCATGTTTGATTCACAATACTAATAGTGAGGTATTAATAATCCTATCAAATTAGTGTGGTATTAATTATCCCACCCCTACCCATTACTAATAATCCTACAAATTTGTTGGATTAATTATCCATTGGATTAATAATCCTAAACCAAAATGTCAAAACAAACATAGGATGATTGGGCCCACGGATTAATAATCCTAATCCCATGCTTTAATCCTTCCAATCAAACATGCCCTCTCTGTATTGTGGATTTGTCAAAGAAAATAAAATTTCTTATAGATCTTATAATTTTTTGGGGGGGAGGTAGGTGATAATTTTTTTTTTAATGATATTTTCTGTGGATTGTTTTTATATTTTTGTATTTCCTTTACCCATTCAAATAAAATAACTTTTTACAATTTTCTTTCTATGCTATTATTTTTAAATTTTGTTTTCCACAAATCCAAAATTCAAAAATAGTTTTTTATTTTTATTTTTAAAAAAGATGAGAGAATTTGTTGATGTTTAACCATCGAAAACAATAGATCCCAATGTATTTTCCCTACCTAGATGCATTAGATGAAGAATTGGTAGCTCTAATTTCTTGAGTCACAGAGTAAGCACTAATTTCTTTTTCTTTCTGTCGTTATTTAACCTTTCTCAGATTTAACAAGTCACAATTAGGATGACAGAACAGTATTTAATAGTTAACTATTGATTGATGCAAACATGTGTTCAGATTTAGAACCACAACAACAAGCTTATGAGTCTGAATTTCTTATGTTTATGATAGTTTTATAAAGTAATTTGAAGATCAGCTGCTCTCTTCTACACATTTTCTTTGTGGGTTTTGGTAGGGACACAAAAATTGTGCACAAAAAAGACACAAAACCTTTACATAGATGGTCATTTATGCAGCATAGTTTCGGTGGCCCTGTTTGTTGCAGTTTAATATAACTTTTGTTTACAGTTGATGTGGTAAAATAACTTAAATAAGAAAAAAAAAAAAATATGGTTATTTGAAAATTGGAGGGAATATACTTTTAATTTATGTTTTTTGATTATCAGGTCTTGCTAATGGCTGGGACTGAGACTTCAGCAACAACAACAGAATGGGCAATGTCACTACTACTCAACCATCCAGACACAATGACAAAAGTTCGTGCAGAGATTGATGATCACGTTGGACAAGATCGTCTCATAGTTGAACAAGACTTGCCGAAGTTGAATTTCCTAACTAATGTCGTCAATGAAGCACTTCGATTATATTCACCAGCCCCACTTCTACTCCCACATGAAGCATCTGAAGATTGTACTGTGGGAGGTTATGATGTCCCACAAGGCACAATGTTGATGGTAAATGCATTGGCCATTCATAGGGACCCTAAGTTATGGGAAAATCCCACGAAATTCATGCCAGAGAGGTTTGAAACAAGGAGTTGTGGAGATGGGTATAAATTTATTCCATTTAGCAGTGGAAGACGCATATGTCCAGGGACTAGCCTAGCATACAGGATGGTTGGGCTGGTACTAGGAGCCTTGATTCAGTCATTTGAATGGAGGAGAGTTGATGAAGAGGAGGTGGATATGGCTGCCGGTTTTGGCATCACCATGCCAAAGTTGAAGCCCTTGGAGGCTATTTGCAAGCCGCGTCCTTTGACGAGCAAAAATAGTCTTGTATGATGATTTTTCATTGAGTTCACTATAGAAAAAAAAAAAAAAAAAAAAAAAAAAAAAAAAAAGAAGAAGAAGAAGAAGAAGAAGAAGAAGAAGATGTAGAAGAAAAAATCGAAAAAGGGATCCAGCGACAATGAGGTGTGGAGTCCAAACACACCCTTTTGTCTATTATGTGTTTTTTGTTTGTCCTTAAAATGTATCTTTTGGATTTGTGCAATGCGCTAACAAACTTTCTGTTCTATATAAATTTCTCCCAGCTGTGGATGCTATGCTTTTCTGATATTCATTTACATTCCTTTTTTTGGGTGAATGTTCATTTACATTGCTAGTTCCTACATAAAAGGTCTAATTTCAACAATGAAAACTGATATCCTTGCAAAATTAGTCATCATAGCATTATTTCCAGATCAAAACCTCAATGAAATTGGATCTTAATTAGTCCTGAACTTGGAAAAGATTAAATATGGCCGGATAGACTTAATTTCCACCTACTAATGTAGGAATTTGTTCAAATATCCATTTTTAAAGCATCCTGCATGCTTGTTTGTTAGAAAATTGTATGGTGATGATTTCAGTAATAATAGAGAATATTGCTTCAAGGGGCATTATAGACGTCGTTGTCCTTAAAACGTTATTTGCCTTCACAGATACTGTAACAGGTAATGACATGATCATCTCCAACATATAATGAAGGCCTACCAATGTTGTTTCTCAATATACATTTTGCACTAATGAAGACTGACACTAAAATACTTTTGGTGATGCACAGAATTGAACTAGGTCTGTAATTCTATTTCTGCAGAAAATAGAACCCAGAAAAGAAGAAGAAGAAGAACAATAGAATGCCTCACGGAAAGCCTTATGAAAATAGGAAGATTAATACGAATTTTTCTATATGACCAACAATCATGTCTCTATTTTTTGAATTTGAATAATATGACTATTATAAACACTTATAAACTGTCATAAGGATAGTTTAAATTTTGGTCATTTGATCATAACATTAGAGCATTTTGGTTGTTCGATCATTGCAAATCATGATTGAAAAAAATTAACGGTCTTGATCAAACGTCACATGTAAAAGTGCCAAGTGCACATCTAAAGGACCACAATATGCTCAGTTGCTAGGGGTGCAACTTGGATGGGTGGAGAAATTGTTCAAACCCAGTCCGAGTTATGCTGATAGCTGCCTAGGCGCACTTTGTAAGATGTCTTAACAATGGCAATGGATCGGAGTTCCCGTGAGGGAGTTTATCACGCAGAAGAATACAATCTAGAAGAAGAAAATACCGAGAGAAAAACAAGAAAATTGAACCCATGTTCTGTCCATATATTTATAGTATATATGGTGGTTGTTGATCAATGGTTGCAACCATTGAAATCAAACTCAATAGTCACCATGTTTCCAAATATTGTGACTTTTCATTTCAAACTTCCAGCTGCTTCTTCCTGCGGGAAGATTGTATCACCATATAAAGATTTGATTCAGTGTGAGAGGGTCCACCATATTATGGTATGATCACTTCTCATACCTTCATCTCCCACTTGATCACATTATAATATTGGTGATAAAACCTGAGTTGGACATATTTACTGTGGTACCAAAATGTTGGACATGTTTACCTTGGTACCAAAATTTTGCCTCATGCCAACTTTCATCTATGAAATTACCTCATAGATCGATGTCTGATTGTGACTTGGCCATATGTGCGCAAGTTTTTGCCACTAATCTGACCGCACCCATACAAATGTGTGCTCCCACTGACAACACACTCCAGATGGCTTCAATTCCCTATATTTCAAGTGAACAACATCAATTATCGGTGCTGGGTTCATAGTCCATACCCAATCACCATTGACGACTTCAGCCGTACACATTTTTCATGTGTCGACCTACGCTGAAATTATTGTTAAGTGCTTCCTTTAAGGCCCATTCCCAGCAACTTTTTGCTGATCAAGTAGACAACATCATCTAGTCAACATGTTGCATATTATGGACTTTCATTTCATGCTAACTATGATGTCTGTACCGTGTCAGTTCCTCTACCTTATTACCTGACCAAACACATGTTTTCATGCAAGATAGAGTCACATAACATCGATTATCCAAGCGTCCCTAGAGTCATCCGATTATGCTTTTATTCAAGTAGCTAAAACCACCTAGCTAGGCATTTTCAATCCCATATTAGCTACATGTTCTCTGAATTTTTCCAGAGACAACCCTTTGGTCATAGGATCGGCCACCATCTCTTCTAAGGATATATAGTTGATTTTAATTTCTCACCTCTCTATTATATCTTGAATATAGTGGTAATTTACGTCAATATGTTTTCCCTTAGAGCTATTCGCTCCACTTTTTATTAATGAGATGACAAATTGATTGTCACAAAACATATTGACCGGTCTGGCAGGTATACCTAATTGTAAACTGTCAACAAATCGTTTTATTCAGACCACATTACTCATGGCTGTGCTGCAAGCTATGTGTTCAACTGCCATAGTGTACTTTGCAACACAACTTTGTTTCTTACTTAACCAAGAAATTGTTGTTCCACCAAACAAGAACACATGACCACTAGTAGATTTTCTATCATCTACATCTCTTGCAAAATCCGTGTTAGTGTATCCTTTTATGTCTAGATCACACAAACCAAAACATGGTTTCAAAATTTTAGTGCCATTTAAATATTTGAATATTCTTTTGATTGCTTGCCAATGTTCCTTACCTGGATTGAATTGAAACCTACTTACCAATCCAACTGCATGACAGATGTCAGGTCTTGTGCTTGTCATTGCATACATTAGGCTGCCGACTGCCTGTGCATATGGGACATCTCTCATTTTTTCAATGTCAGATTTATTTTGAGGACTCATACTTTTACTAAGATTTTGTCCCTTGTAAACAGGTGTGCTTAAAGAATTACAGTTATCCATATTAAATCTTTTAAGCACCTTGTCTAGATATTTTTCTTGATTTAGATATAACAATTTTGAATTTCTATCTCTTGAAATTCTAATTCCTAAGACATAGGTTGCAAGACCCATGTCTTTCATTTCAAATCTAGATGCCAAGAAAATTTTGGTTTTTATAATCATATCGTGACAATTTCCAGCTAACAATATGTCATCCACGTATAAAGACAACATTGCTAACTTATCATCATCTTTCCAGATTTAAACACAGTGATCTAATGGACTCATAGCATAGCCTATTTCTAAAATGGCTTAGTGGAATTTCAAGTACCATTATCTTGAAGATTGTTTGAGTCCATATAGAGATTTTTTCAATTTGTAGACTTTATTCTCGTTGCCTTGGATCTAGAAACCATCACGTTGCATCATATAAATTTCCTCTTTTAATTTGCCATTGAGAAAAGCTGTTTTAATATCTAATTGATGCAATTTCAAATCCATCCTGGCTACTACCGCCATTAGAATCCTTATTGAGGCAAATTTTGCAACAGGAGAATATGTATCTATAAAGTCTATTCTAGGTTGTTGAGTCAATCCCTTGGCTACTAACCTCGCCTTGTACTTCTCCAAACTTCCATCTACTTTGAATTTCTTTCTAAGAACCCATTTGCAAGCAATGGTTTTTTTTCCATTCAGTGGATCGGTTAATTCCCAAATATCATTTTTCTTGATAGAGTTCTTCATTCATTGCCTCAAACCATTGTGTAGCATCACTGCTACTCATTGCCTCATAATAACTAGTAGGATCATCTACTAAGTTATTAAGTTCTTTAACTTGAAAAACATAATGATCTTTCAAAAATGTAGATGGACGTCTCTTACTCCCACTTATCTCAGGAATCGAAGCAGGTAAAACAACGTCATGTAATGTGCATTTCCTCCCACTATTAGATGGTTCTAGGAGAATTTATGGATCGGGTGACAAAGAAGGAAGAGAAGAATCCTGAGATACTTCGAAGAGCAATTCAATTTTTTCAATAGGAGTAACAAGATTAGTGGATTCAAGAAAAATAGCATCTCTACTTTCTATTAATTCACGTTCGGGATGGCAAAAACGATAACCGCTCCCATTTTGAACATAGCCAATAAACATGCATTCCCAAGTTTTACTTCCCAATTTATCCCTTAAAGGTTTGGAAATAAGTACATGTGCTTTACATCCCCAAACTTTAAGACTTTGAACATTAGGTGAAGTACCATGCCGGCATTCATAAGGAGTTAGAGGTTTGGCTTTTGTTTCGACTCTATTTAATATGTACGTAGCGGTGGAGAAGGCTTCCCCCAAAAAATGAATAGGAAGATCAACATGAGCCATCATAGACCTTGTTATTTCCAGTAGAGTATGATTTCGTCTTTCTACGACCCCATTTTGTTGTGGTGTGTGTAGACACCCCATTTTTGACAGCCCTTAAGACTTGGGCACCCAGATTCATCACTCAATGATAAAAATTATGCTGTACAAACATTCAATTTCTTCAGCAAGAAGAGCTTCTAAATCCCAACCTTATATCCCATTTTGGACCAAAACTATTTTAGACCTTAAAATCCTTTTTTTTTTCAAAATATTTTTTCAAATATTTCTATGATGTTCCGAAACTCGCATTTTGTTTAAAATATTACACTTTTCGGTAAACCGAGTAAGAACAAAGTGGAAATAAATGAAGGGAGGTGAGCTCTTTGAAAATATTTAAAAACATCTTATTTATAGGTTTGGAGTTGAAGAAAATAGGAGGAGAGGAAAGAAAACTAGTTGGGCTTGGGCATCGATCCGTTAGGACGGAAATGAGTAGCCTTCACTAAAATAAGCATATCTCTTTGAACACTTAAAATTTAGATATGAAGCTACTTTCATTGGAAAGTAGACTTTTGGGGCTTCAATTTAGACTCAAGAATGACCTGAAACCGAGTCCGGATGAAAGAAATATGCCCGTTTGAAGTCGGGCTTGGAAGCAGATTTTTGTCTGGCCTGCCACCCACTAATAGTGGCCGATAACCCAATTTTTGTGGCCTGTCGGCCACTTGTGTCAAAACCCAGATATTTTTGACAATTGTCCCCCAAAAGCTTCAGCTGTTCCTATACAGATATTTCCGACCTGGGAAGCTGTTTTTCTATAAATACAAGGCCAACCCTCATGTTTTTAGGTTACAAACTCTATCTCTATCTTGCAACACACACACCTTACCCAAACACTTCTTAAACCAATATTGGAGCTGTCCTTGCTGAGATTATTGAGTCCAAATTTCAGCCCTTGAAAGTAAGAATTTGTGGGTTTGTTAACAAAAGAGTTACCTTGCTTCAAGATGTATAG